ATGGACCTATAAACCGGGGCCCCAATTTTCCCCTCTTCCTGAACCGGATCACCCCTTTCCAAGGAGAAACCTTCAGGAGAACGAAGTCGCCGACCTGAAATTCAAGCTCGGACCGGCGTCTATCCGCATAACTCTTTTGTCGGGTCTGGGCGGTCAATAACCTCTGTCTGACCTGCTGTATCTGCTCTATTGTCTGAATCACGATCTCTGTACTGCCCATCACTCTCTGCCCAACCTCTCCCCAACAAATGGGAGTCCTACACCTCCTACCATACAACAGCTCAAAGGGCGGCATACCGATGCTCGAATGATGGCTGTTATTGTAGGAAAACTCTGCCAAGGGTAAATACGTATCCCAGCTGCCCTCAAAATCCAATACACATGCTCGAAGCATGTCCTCAAGCGTCTGAATCATCCGCTCACTCTGGCCGTCTGTTTGGGGGGTGGTATGCGGTACTAAAATGCAGCTTAGTACCCAACTCCTCATGAAATTTCTTCCAGAATCGGGAAGTGAAGTGCACATCACGGTCCGAAACAATCGAGATCGGCACCCCATGCCAAGATACTACTTCTCTCACATAAATCTCCGCCAACTTCTCCGCCGAAGAACTCTCACTGATGGCAAAAAAGTGAGCGCTCTTTGTCAACCTATCCATAATCACCCAAATTGCATCGACTCCTCTGGCAGTCCTCGACAATTTGGTGTTGAAATCCATAGTGATCTGTTCCCACTTCCACTCGGGAACCTCCAATGGCTGCAACTTGCCATGCGGTCTCTGGTGCTCGGCCTTCACCCTTCGACAGGTCAAACACCTCTCGACAAACCATGCGACGTCCCTCTTCATACAAGGCCACCAATACTCTTTCCTCAAGTCCAAATACATTTTTGTAGCCCCGGGATGGATCGAAAATTTCGATCTATGAGCTTCCTCCATCAATGTAGTACGTGTACCGCCCACAAACGGTACCCAAATCCGGCCCTGAAAAGTCATAAGCCCTCGACTATCCGACACGAACTCAGAAACCAACCCAACGACCCGTTCTCTCTTCTGCATTTCCGGATGCACAGCCTCGGTCTGTGCCCCACGAATGGCGTCCAAAACTGGAGCTATCACGGTCAATCTCAAACATACATTTCGCAGTGGAGTACTCTCCGCCCTGCGACTCAATGCGTCGGCTACCACATTAGCCTTGCCCGGGTGATACAAGATCTCACAATCATAATCCTTGACTACATCTAACCACCTCCTCTGCCGCATATTTAGGTTAGGCTGATCCATCAAGTACTTCAAGCTCTTATGGTCCGTGTATATCGTACAACGAACCCCATACAAGTAGTGCCGCCAAATCTTGAGAGCGAACACCACTGCCCCCAGCTCTAAATCATGTGTGGGATATCTCGTCTCATGAGGCTTCAACTGCCTCGATGCATATGCTATCACATGTCCCTTCTGCATCAGCACCGCTCCCAGCCCTAAAATCGATGCATCACAGAATACCACAAAATCTTCCATCCCTTCCGGAAGAGCTAATACCGGAGCTTCGCACAACCTTTGGCGAAGCGTCTCAAAGGAGGTCTGCTACTCGGGACCCCATAAAAATGTAACACCCTTCCGGGTCAATCTGATGAGTGGCACTGCAATCTTGGAGAAATCCTTGATAAACCTCCGATAGTACCCTGCCAGCCCAAGGAAGCTCCTGATCTCAGAAGGTGACATTGGCACCTCCCACCTCATCACCGCATCAACCTTGGCCGGATCGACCAATATCCCTTTCTGATTAACGAGGTGCCCCAGAAATTGGACCTCCCGCAACCAGAAATCGCACTTGGAAAACTTTGCATAAAGTTTCTCCGATCTCAAAACTCCAAGAACCTCCCTGAAATGCTCCTCATGTTGCTCTCTAGATCTCGAATATACCAGAATATCATCGATAAACACAATCACCGACCGATCCAACATCGGTTTGCATACCCTGTTCATGAGGTCCATGAACACAGCCGGGGCATTGGTGAGCCCAAAAGGCATCACCACAAACTCATAATGCCCATAACGCGTCCTGAATGCTGTCTTCTGGACGTCCTCGTCCCGCACTCTCACCTGATGATAGCCCGACCTCAAATCGATCTTGGAGAACCAAGATTCTCCCTGCAACTGATCGAATAAGTCGTCGATCCTCGGTAACGGGTAACGGTTCTTGACCGTCAGCTTATTCAATTCTCGGTAATCAATATACATTCGATGCGAGCCATCCTTCTTCTTCACAAATAGAATGGGTGCTCCCCATGGCGAGATACTCGGCCGAATAAACCCCTTCCCCAGCAGCTCCTGAAGCTGCGAGGATAACTCTTGCATCTCTGGAGGTGCAAGGCGATAAGGCACCTTAGCGATAGGCGCGGCTCCCGGAACCAAATCGATACCGAACTCCACTTGCCTCACGGGAGGCACACCTGGTAACTCTTCGGGAAAAACATCTAGAAACTCACGCACCACCGGAACTTCATCCACTGAACTCGGTCTCTCGGAGATCACTCGCGTATCCATCACATACGCCACAAAACCCTTACAGCCCTGCTGTAAACACTGCCTCGCCCTAGCGGCCGAACAAAAGGCTGATCCAGAACATGTACCCTCGCCGTATACCGAAAGAACTCCCCCACTAGGATCTCGTACGGTTACCAGCTGACGCTCGCAGTCGATAACCGCACCGAATCGGCTCAACCAGTCCATGCCCACTATGACACAGACATCACCCATCGCAATAGGAACCAGATCGATCGGAAACTCAACCCTAAAAATCTCTAACACACATCCTCGGAGGACCTCCGTGGCACAAATCATTCTGTCGGCGGCTATAGAAACCCGAAGAGGCCGACTCAATGCCTCACGACTAAAACTGATCTGCTGACTAAAGGCCAAAGATACAAAAGACCGACTCGCACCCGAGTCAAATAACACTAAAGCAGGCACAGAGTTCACAAGGAAGGTACCTATGCATAGCATAATATAAGCATAATATCTCAACACCAAAAATAAATATATAAAAGGAAACGTACCAGCCACAACGTCGGGTGCAGCGCGGACCTCTTCCGCAGTGAGCTGAAAGGCTCTCCCTCGAGCTCTCGGTGCTTCGGCCTTCACGGGCCGACTCTCTGTAGCTCTGATGGCGGCGGGAGCAGATCCCTGAGACGCTCCATGCAGCAGCGGACACTCCGCTTTCCGGTGTCCGGTCTGGTTGCAGTGAAAACACACTGCAAACCCCTTGGGGCAGTCCTTGGCCATATGCCCCTCCTTGCCACATTTGTAGCAAGACCCTGCTCGACAGACTCCATCGTGACCCTTGCCGCACTTCCCGCAAGTGCGGCCCTTCTGGCTCCCGGGTTTGGGATCAGCGGGCCTGGCCCACTTGGCTGTCGGCTGATGTTGTGCCGGCCGCCGATCCCTCCCTAGAGACTCCGCCTCCTCCCTGGCTTGAGTCTCAAGCTCAATCTCCCTCTTCCGGGCATTTGCCTGAAGCTCAGCAAATGTCCGATACGAAGAGTTCGCAGCGAACTCCTGAATATCCCGTCTCAAAATGCTCACGTAGCGGCTCATACGTGCCTGCTCAGTGGACACGTGCTCAGGGCAGAACATCGCCCTCTCATGAAACATCCTCGTGATCGCAGTAACTAACTCAGTACCCTGCTTGAGGGTCAGAAACTCCTGTGCTAGACGCTCCCTCTCCACCTGGGGAACGTACTCATCTCAGAACATGGTAGTGAACCTCTCCCAGGTCACTACCAAAAGCTCAGTAGGCGTGAAATGCGCCGTCACAAACTTCCACCTGTCCTTCGCTCCCAAGCGAAGCTGGTTCAGCGCGAACCGAACCTTCAAATGCTCAGGGGATGAGCAACTGAAGAAGCACCCCTCCATATCAGATATCCACCTCATAGCTGCCACCGGATCCTGTGTACCATCAAACTCTGGTGGTTTGGTGTTGCTGAACTCCCGAAACAGTGACGCATCACCCCCCCTGGGGTCTCGCCGCAGCGATCGCTACGGTAGCCGCTGCAACAGCAGCCTTAGAAAGAGCGGCATAACGCTCGTTAAATGTCTCAATCAGCGCAGTCTTAATAGACCCGAACATCTCTGGTATCTCAGCTCTGATGACCGCAGCCACCTCCTCATGAATGATCTGTCGAATCTCCTCATCACTAGCTCCGGCATCCTCCGGCATATGATGTGTCCTCACCATGATCAACCTCTGAAATACAACATGCGATAAATTAGAATTCATTCGAACACTCTTACACCCGACAATCCACCCCTCCTTGATTCTTGGTATCCCAAGATTCTTATTTGGACTGTGTACTGCCCCGGTGCTTTTAGTAGCACGGGCCCAATACTACTGTCCACACCGTCTCAGTACACACCCCAAACCTTCTTCTTCGGATCCCAATTCCCAAGTACTCTATCATGCGTAAACCACTTTCTAACAGATCTCTCATAAACCCCTTGCTGCTACCTACTCACTCTCAGCATCTCATAGCAGCTCACCCCTCCCTAGGCTAGGGGCATCACAAATCAGGCCACTCTAGTCCTATTAGCAATACCTAGCCTACTCTAGCATGCAGATACATCATACTAATATTAATATCATGTAATATAAAGGTATTTTGGGAATTCACCGTTCGGGCGCTGACTGATCGTACACACGTTTCCTCCTGGAATTTGTTTCTTTTTCGAGAAAGTATTTTACTCTTAGAAAATTTTGGTTTTCTTTTGAAAATATCTTTCCAATTCCTCAGTTTGAGTTCAAATACTCCCGAAGGTGTACCCGAATCCCTCAAACCAAGGCTCTGATACCAATTTGTAACACCGTAAATTTCAAAACAATTTTTTCAATTTTTATAAAACATAATTCCATCAATATTCATCAAACAACCATATTAATTATCCAAAATAGGTCAATACAAAATCCCAAGATCACAATGTAAAACTCCGAGTGTGTGTGTGTACGGATCAAGCTGGCGCCTTCCAGCGATCGTCGCTAGTACCTGAAACAATAACATCAAACACTGTAAGCACAAGGCTTAGTGAGTTCCCCAAAATACCACATGTAACACATATTAGCCACTTGAGGCTATAACTATGTGGGTCCGTGCACCCCAAACTCTATGAACCCTCAGGTTCTAGCTCTGATAAACATGCACTACATAAATCACTTAGACATAATGCAGTACAACACATAACATACATAGCATACAATACTCTGTCACATAACTTAGGTTACCTATTCAAGGTAATATAGTATAGTGAGAAGACTCACCTCGCGTATCTCGGTATCTCACGAATCCTGGAAATCCCTCGTGCTCGATCCTCCGAGCTCTAATCCTCCTATAACATTATATGCTTCTAATTAACACTTTGTATCTCTAAGGTTGACTATTTATAAGGAGTCAACACATGTCAACTCTGGTCAACGGTCAACGGTCAACTCTGACCGGACTCGGCGAGTACCAAGGAGACTCGGCGAGTCTAGACGTTTTCACCACCCTCTGAAATCCTCTTACTACACGTCGAGTATCCCCCCCTTTACTCGACGAGTTTCACCTGAATGAATCGCGGGGCCACCCCGACTCAACTCGCCGAGTCTCAAGGACAACTCGGCGAGTCCAGGTTCGACTCAGTCCACTCGTCATCCCTCTACAACTCACCATGACTCACTGAGTCTACCCATGACTCGATTTGGACCACTCGCAGAGCAGTCCCAAGGCAATCTTCAAGCTACTCGCCGAGTCGGATGAACAGACTCGGCGAGTCCATGCCATGCAACCACTCCAACTCGCTTCTAAGGTCAGATCTGCTTCCAAAAACTATAGATCTGGCCTCCCTCGACTGATTCATCACGTAAAGCTCCTATCTTGGTGCTCATAACACACCCTATAACTCAATATTGGCGTTTGTGACCCAAGGCATGAGGATTCCAATCCAAAGCCTCCATTGATCCCAAAAAAGCTTGGGTAAAGGGACACTCTGGACCTCTAGGGGTCCAGATCTATGGTTCCAACCTCATAAGGGACCAAAAGAGCACCAAATCTTGCCATAAAAGGGTTCAACACACCCTAAATCTAGATAAGCAATAACAACAAGAAAGTAACTCGGATTTATTACCACAAAAGTGATGCTATGGACTCAAAACCCACAGAAATGGCTCCTTCTTGCTTTCCCTTGGCTAGCTCTTCTCCTTTCCTTGCAACAATGGCACCTCCAAGGTCAATAATGACCTCCTACTTAGCTCCAATGCTCACACTCGATTAGGGTTTCACTCAAGGGGATGGTGAGCACAAAAGACGGCCATTAGGCCCTTTAAATAAGTCTCAAACCCGAGAAATTAGGGTTTCATTACACAGCGCTGACTCGCCGAGTCCATATCCTGGACTCGTCGAGTCTAGGCGCGATCCTGCGTCCAAATCCGCGTCTCTACTCGGCGAGTCTGAGCTCCAACTCGCCGAGTCGCCCTTACAAAACAACAAAATACAACTAACAAGATACCTAATAAAATCCGGCTGTTACATTTAAAGCTAATCTTATCACACAAAGGTTCTCTGCCCAAAGGCTGACTATGTTCCATGTACTCAAATATCAAGCAACTTTGAGTGGTGGCAGAATCACTATCATCACTAGAAAAGTCTTCTTGAACTACATTGTTCTCATCATTCATTGACAAATGATCTATTCGGTGAAGAATGTCATTCTTTGGGTGATGATTATTACTCTTCTCCCTTAGATAATGTAAAGAACCCTTTTCCTGTTCATAATCACTGCTCCCATCACTACTTGAATCCGTAAATGAGTTATCATCAATATCCTCAGTTAGTTGCCTGCAAAGCAACATAATAACTAGATTATTTAAATTTCATAAAGAAGCATAATAGATGCTACTAGTTGAAAAGGAGCCTGACATAACCCTAAACAAGAAAGAGGAAGAAAAGAAGATATTTACTATTCCAGTACTTGGAATTTATTGAAGACTTCAAAGGGTCTACATATATTTGAATTCCAGATAAATAAGGCACATAATATTGGATCACACAATTAGCTTCATTCAATATTAAAGGAACTCCAGCACCATAAGCACTCCACTCCTTGAAAGATTCCCACAAATCACCAAGAACAAAGTATGGTTGATATTCCACATCACTTATCCTCCATCCTCTCATAGTTCTCTGCTGCCATAAAGTTCAAGTAAAATCATTATTTGGATCAAATACACAACTACAATACCCCTGTTTATACATGATTACTGAACATTAACCATTTTATTGTACTCTAATTCTTTTTGGAAGATGGTGTGCTTTAGCAGAAACACATATATTTTGATTGTCAAAATATGGAATCCTTGATTAAACAATAGAAATATAACATCAAAGGCAAACTCTGTTCACTCATAAAAACTGAAAGGCCACCCTCAGGGCTCACTGAATAATAATTTAAGCTGACTTCATTTGCTTTCAAACATGAATTTCGGAGTAGTGCCAATGGAGAAAGAGAAAACCACAGCTAAAATGTAAAGTAAATTATACTACTAAATTATAAATCAAAAATCTGATTAATTGACTATCGCATACTCAAATTGAATAAACCAAATGTTCCTATAAGTTACTTTACTCCATGATATAACGAATTAGCAATACAAGTATAAACTGAGACGACTAATTTGAATTAATTCAACTCATTTCAATATAAAAGATTAATATCAGTACAGACCTTGGAGAGATGTTGAACAGGAACAGAAGGCGTAACAGTTTCCAAAAACCGTTCAAGATTACACAACGATGATGTTGCCGGCACCGCCACCACTGAGGATTCCAACGGCTCCGGATTTGATGGCTTCATGAGTTGATTCTCCGGCTCCTCCCTGACAGAAGATGTCATAGATTGGGTCGGAGTAACGTTACTTTGAGCTCTACGGAGGTTCTTTTGATGCTGACGAATCCTTCTCGCTTTCGCCGGCATGTAAAACCTATCCTCTCCACCACTACTACGTCCATGCTGCAATCCAGCGCCCAACATCTTCACTAAAACCCTAAGTTACAAATCCTTCGATCTCACCAATAAAACTGGTCACGAAAGCTACGATTTGTAGACAAATTTAAAAGTCAATGAGTTTGATTTTGATTCATTTTTCTGTTAAAGATAAATTAACAAAAAAAAAGAACAAAACTTTTTGTAAACGAATCGTTAAAACAAGATGAAAATCAGCCGATTAAAGAAGGAGTTGACGGATTCAGAAAAACCCTGCAATTTGACAAAATCAAACGAAATCAAACAAAAGCAACGATTGTGTGAGAAATTCAACAAGAGCTGACGAAGAATTAGTCAAATGGGAAGGAGGAAGAGCGGATATCCTTTGATGACAGCTTAGGGTTTGCAGATGGTGGTGTGGGGGTCATCGGTTGCGTTACAGAGAGATATGAAGTCGAGACGAAAAGACGAGATTGACCCATCTGGTAATAAACGGACTCGGGAAGCTGAACAAAATGACCCGAGATTGACCCATCTAGTAACAACGCTATTGATTCCATTCCTTCCATTTTCGACTGTTCATCCTCCACTTCCTCTACTGCTACTTCTTCACCATCTTCTATTTTTTCTGTATTTAGACTTGAGAGTATAATTAGGGATTTTTCTAACAATTTCAACATCGAGTGGGAGATATGGTGGTTCCAGTAGGTAGAAGTGAGGGAAGAAGTAGGCAGCAGTCAATGTTGGGAGGGGGAAGGAAGGGGCGTCCATAATTTGGGCAAGAGGGAAAGGAGTAAAAATAGGAAGGCGGGATTTTTAATTTTTTCAGAATTTCATTTCCCCCTACTGTTAAAGGATGGAACGCGCGTTCCATTAAAAATTATAAAGCGACATCCTTAGACGACGTGCATTTTATTATAGGTGCCCTCCGTGTTTTTTTTAGACACTAATTTAAGGGCGCGCAATAATGCGTGTCTTCTATCCTTAAAGTTTTTGAAGAGATGACATTTTTCTAATGTCACTCTCCTTTGCGTAACATAGATCAATGAGCGTCGTATTTTGCGCGTCGTAAAAGGCCTTTTTTCTAGTAGTGTCTATCACCCTAAATGGCCCATAATATTTTGCTGCCAATTTATGGAACACCCTTTTGTTTACAGATTGTTGTCGATAGGGCTGTAATTTCAAATAAACCCAATCCCCCAAAGCAAGGACCCTCTCACTTCGGTGTTTATCTGCATGGAATTTCATCCGTTGTTGAGCTTTCGTCAGATTTTCCTTGAGTAGCCGAATGGTGGCCTCTCTAGCTTTCAGTGTGGCGTCTACAGACTGATTAGCTGAGTCCTTAGGGTGGTAATGAATGTAGTTGGGGGGAGACTGACCAAAAAGAGCTTCATACGGCGACATACCCAGGCTGGAGTGATGAGACGTGTTATACCAAAACTGAGCTAAAGGGAGCCACTTGGCCCACGATGTGGGAGTATCTAAGGTAAAAACACCTCAAATATGTCTCTAAGCATCTATTGACAACCTCCGTTTGACCATCAGACTCTGGATGGTATGCAGTAGAGTAGGCTAAGGTCGTCTGATGTGCTTTAAATAATTCCTTCCAAAAGTTACTTAAGAAGATTGGATCTCTATCAGATATCATCTTCGCCGGCATACCATATAATTTTGACACTTGTTCCATAAATACTTGAGCTACCATCGCGGCGGTATATGGGTGCTTCAAGGCCATAAAATGACTGAATTTGCTTAGTTTATCCACAACTACAAGTATTGTAGTGTTGCCCAAAGACTTGGGCAAACCTTCAATGAAGTCTAGAGAAATGACCTCCCAAAATCTATTGGGTATTTCAATTGGTTGAAGCAGCCGTGGATATGCCGACGTGTCATATTTGCATTGTTGGCAAACGTGACATTCCCTTACAAAAGATCTTACATCAGCTTGCATTCCCTTCCAATAGACTGCATTTGAAAGCCTTTGTGTTGTTGCGTGGACTCCAGAATGACCCCCAGGCGCGCTTGAATGAAAGAATGTAATGAGGTCCTGTTTAAGTATCTTATCATCCCCCACAACCAACCTTCCTTGCTTCGTGAGTGACCCATTTGTTGGATTAGTGTCTAAGTCCATAACTATTATGGTATGTACTTGACCCGATGGTGCATGGTCCTTTTGGGTTGCCTTCACCAAAGCAACTTGATTGGAGAAATATAGAGAGAGAGAGGATAATATGATTTATTAATATGTTATAAGAATAATATATTAAAGGAGAAATCATATTTGTTTAATTAATATTGGTCAATAATTAATTAGGAATTAATTTTGTGATCAAGTGTAATTAATTAAACTAAAGGGGCTGATTTATAATTATGTGATAGTTACAAAATAAGATAAGGATTATCTTATATATAGGGTGAATGAATTTAAGGAGATAATGCCTTAGAATTCGACTATGATAAGGATTCAAGGATTATCTTATGGGTTGCTTTGTGGATAAGCAACTAGATAAGGATAATGACTGAAACCCTATCTCTACACCTATATAAACACCCCTTGGCTCATGAATTCGTGTATCCCTTCCCAAGAAGTCCTAAGGACGAATTCTAAACTCTCTCCTCTCTCTTTATACCTTCTCCATTTGCTATTGGTGTTTGTAAGCCATTAGAGGAGTGACACTTGTGACTCTAAGCATTCCAAAGTCAAATCAAGGAGATTTGGGATTGTTATTGCTACATAACAATCAAGGTAACATTATAAACTTATTCTCATGTTAATATGATTACTTGAATGCTAGAATTAGGCTTTATAGTCTTGGATTCAAAGCATGTACAATAGAGAAACCTAGATCCAAGCATTAGGGTTTATATGAGCACATAGGATGTCTTATGACTAAAACCCATCACCATTAACCATGGAGTACTTGCTCCCTATAGTCGAACCATCTTTGAGTGCATCAATTATTCCTTGTAGTTTTCCATCTGTATAGACACTTTCTCGAATTTTATCTTGCCAACCCGAGAAGATGCTTGATATGGCCATACAAGTGGTTGGCGATAAAGGAGTCGATCTTCTTGAAAAAGCATCTGCTACCATGTTTTCCTTTCCCTTTTGGTATTGCACAGAATACTGTAGGCCCATGAGTTTGCTTAACCATTTCTGCAAGGTAGGATTGCACTCCTTTTGCTCAAATATATGCTTCAACGCTTGGTGATCCGTCTTAATAACAAAGGGCTTGCCTAACAAATATCCCTTCCACCTTTGGATGGCAGCTACTATAGCTAGTAATTCCCTTTCATATGTGGCCAACATTAAATATTTAGGGCCCAAGGACTTGCTGAAAAAGGCAATATGGTGATTATTTTGAATTAACACCGCTCCTATACCCACACCTGAAGCATCTGTCTCGATGATAAATGGTTTGTCAAAGTTAGGTAAGGCCAACACTGGAATAGAAGTCATAGCTTGCTTTAATTCATGAAAAGTTTCATCAGCCTCTTGACCCCAAATAAAACACCCTTTTTGGAGAAAATTCGTTAGAGGTTTTGCTATCTTTCCGTAATTCCTTACGAACCGCCTATAGTATCTAGTAAGACCCAAAAATCCTCTCAACTCTTTAATATTTTTTGGTTTTGGCCAAGTCACCATATCTTCAATATTTTTTGGGTCCGCTTTAACTCCATCAGCACTAATCACGTGGCCTAAATAGTCCACTTGTCGGCTGCCAAACGAGCATTTCGAAAATTTGGCGAATAAGGATTGTTGTCTCAGAATGTCAAGCACCATACCCAAATGTTGTAAGTGTTCCTTCTAACTTTCACTGTAAACGAGGATGTTGTCAAAAAATAACTAAGACAAACTTCCTTAAATATGGTTTGAAGATTGAATTCATTAAATGTTGAAATGTTGCCGGGGCATTTGAGAGGCCAAAAGGCATAACGACAAACTCATATAACCCCTCATGAGTCCGAAAAGCAGTTTTTTTAATATCTGTTTCCCTCATCCTTATTTGATGGTAGCCGCTCCGCAAGTCTAGCTTCGAAAAATAGTAAGCTCCATGCAATTCATCAATAAGCTCTTCAACGATAGGTATAGGGAATTGATTCTTTACTGTGAGATGGTTGAGCTTTCTATAATCCACACAGAACCTCCAATTGCCATCCTTCTTTTTTACCAGAACCACCGGCGAAGCAAACTCGCTATGACTTGGTCTGATCACACCATAATTTAACATCTCTTGTACCAACTCTTCTATTATAGTTTTTTGTAGGGCCCCATATCTATATGCTTTTAAATTAACTGGATTGCTTCCCTCCTTTAATGTGATACCATGATCTAGTTGCCTGGTAGGTGGCAAGGACTTTGGGTTTGCAAACACATCTTCAAAAGCAGACAACAACGATTCCATCTCATGTCTCATAGGTTCAGTTTCATCAGTAACTTCTAGCTTGATGGACCATAATTGAGATGGTCCCTCAATGGACTCGAAAAGGTATGCTTGATCTTGATCCCACTCCCCCTGAAGCGTCTTACCGGTAGAATTCCCCAAACAGCCTTTCTGTGCCCCTTCCAACCGAATAGTTCGGTTCTCACTTTGAAATTCCATAAATAACTCCTTGAAGTTAGATGTTATATCCCCAAGCCTTGCTAGCCATTCAACTCCTAAACAACCCCGAATCCTCCAATTGGCATGGCTAGGAAATCCCCCTTGAATGACACTCCATGGGTACACCAGGATACTTCTTTACAGACATAATGAATAGACAATTTAAACCCATCGGCTACCGACACATTAAGGGGTTTAGTGGGTGTAAGCTTGAGGCCGAGCCTTTTAGCCCACACCAAGTCTATGAAATTGTTGGTACTACCACTGTCAATAAGCATCAATAGAGACTATTTCTTCACTATACCCCACACTTGAAGAGTCTGGGGACCCAAAGAACCCAGTAAAGCGTGAATGAAAATTGTAGTTTCCCCTGTCACACCTTCGTTTATTTCGGTATTAGCCAAATCATGGAGCCCTTCTTCGTCCATAAAATTCTCTTGCTCT